ATCGGCGGCGATATGCACAGTCTATGGCTTGGCGAAAGTACCCTGAACGAGGATAACCCGGATGCGAAACTGTTGGACGATTCATATCCACAACATTTTAAGAGTAGTTTAGTTGAAAGATGGGGTGAGCTGAACATTCAGCAGGTATGTCAAACTGATTACCTGTCACGAATAGTAATGACCAAATCGAAAAAGTGTATATGACCATGATGATAACACGTCAAGTACTGTGAATTAATGTTGCAAAGAGGTCGCATCTATGTTCTGTGACAGAATCATAATTCTGATATATTTATAAAAAAAATGTATGCAGTTGATGCATCCCTTACATCGTTCGTACTCCGCATATACCCCACCCCAGCAAACATATTAGGGTATATTATTCAAATATACAATATAATTCCACAGATAAACTCATATTACATATATTCACTCCCTTGCATGTATTTGTAGGTAAAGGTTTCATTGTACACAGCTGGTGAGGAGGTGACATATTTTATTTTCGATGGTACCGGAAGTGACAAACACAACTGGTTTTCTCAAGAACGATTAGTGGATAGTCCATACAGTGATCTGACAAGTACTACAGTTACTAACTACTTTTCCATTGAAGGGTAGGATATGTTTACTTTATATATTACTGTATTATATACATATAAATTGGTAAATCATTATGAGTATTGTATCCTGTGTATGTGGATATACTGCAACAATCGTTATAATATCATTGTTATTTTTCAGATGTAGTTATTAGGACTCGCCAAACTGTTCTGTTGAAACTGATTCTTTAAAATAGGACAGTGAGGTGATTCTGTTCGACTCGCAATATTTGGTGTAATTATTAGGCGTCGTTGTTACAGTGTATTCTTTCTTCATGCTGTTGTTGTTGTTGTTGTTAAATAAATCCTTCTCGCTGTGTTATATAAACCAGACTCGCGTTTTTTATTCATCGTCTTTACTGCCTAATCTAATATACCTTTACTTTATTCCAGTCACACTGAAGTCGGCCGCACGTTTTTCATAAACGGGCAGTATGGGGGATGCCACGTCGACTATGGTTGGTTAGTTGTACGTACAGCAGAAGAGGCTTGTGATTGGGATGAGACCGGGCAACCAGAGTCGGGGTTTCCAACTTTTCTGTACTCTGAGCTAAAACCATTCGGAAATACGTGGAACGATGGTGAGTTATTAGTGAATTATTTTTGTGTGGCATACCTGGCGGGGTTTAACATGTTGAGAGTTTCTTTTTGAAAAAAAATGATGGAAAATTGTATGAATGGAACTAAATTAAGCAATCATGCACTGCCGTTTTATAACAAGTATCAGACATATTGGTTTTAGTAAAACTACCAACTGTGGGAACTTTAAATTGTGTTTGTGTGGGAATTGATGCTCATGTTGCCTAGTAACGGCAAGTTACTTTGAACTGCATTTACAAAACGCTTGGAGCGGGCTCACGCTATTGTGGTTACGCATACACGATAATGTCAAAACAACACTCATGTTTAGCACTTGAGGGACGGTTGAATAAATTCACACCAAGACATGTGTACATGGATTTGGAACCTATTTCAACCTTATTTTCCACGAGATAATGAATTCGAGTCATGCATATCTGATCAAAATGAGCGTTGGAAAGTTAAGACAGTATAACCATACGACTTTATCATTTGTACTGTCCGCCACTTTTAACTGATGAAATTCCACCCTTTTCTTTATGTTGCGTAGTTTGAGAAAGTGGTTGAATATTATCGAACAATACATTGTTTATAGCCGCTGGAGGGTTACTCCAAAGTGTACAAAGGGGAATATATTCCACTTTACGATTCATTTGTATATCCCGGAGAGTCTAGAAACTGATGCATACGCACGTGTACATAGTTACCGTGTATATACATACGAGTCTTTGAATATATAAATTTGGAAGGGTGGAAGGAAGTGGTGTTAACACTGGCGTTGTGTTCGGGAAACTTTGCCTCGCTTGGCTGATAACACTTACACGCATGTAGAGATACCAGATTCGGCCCACATTAGTTCGTTACAGATAGTCCGGCTTCATTCATGCAAACCGTCAGCTGAGGTCACACATTGCTGCTCACTTCTCTACTCCGTGTTTTATAAAGTCTTACAAAGCTCTCTCATAAGACTCTAAGGCGTGACACAGGAAACATGCGATCTACCAATCGCTGCAGTCGTTGGCACGATCACGTGATTACCAGGGATGTGTTTCACGGTTAAAGTTTTGCGAAGTTGCCACTACTAAAAAAACAATTAGTACACAAACTTTATACAATTCCGGTAATAAAAATTATAATGTCTACCCTTAACATGCAAGTTGTTGATTCTAAACATTACTGCAACGAGGTGTGTACCTGATGTAATCGATAACAGAAGGATGGAAGGAATAAATGCATGAGATCGCTAAATATTAATGAAATGAATTTTTGTAGTACAGTTACCATCTGCATACTAATGACGTGTTTCCTTATATTGTCTCCAAGATTCTCCTGGTCTTGCGGATATATTCGCGATATTTATAAAGTCGCCAGGTAAGTAAATTACATTTGGAAGTTTATTTGTTTGGAAATTGGTATCTGCAGTTCAACTAGAGTTGACAATTCATCATGGAATGTATCCTTACAATAGTTGGAGGTTGCGTTATCTACTGATACCGTTGAGTTCACAATGCCTTACACAATATATGTCAGCCTCTCAGTGTAGTATGTGTATTATTCTGTAGATATAGAGCACCCATGTGATCCAGCCACATACACGGAAATTGACAACCCATTTCGCAGTGTATCTTTCCTATCCAGTCATTTTGAATCTGAGGATGAGTATGTATGCGATGCTGAGTTGAATAAAGGGTGGTATAAATTTAGTAGTGTGGCCGGCAATGATATACCAACTTCGTGTGTGCCAACTGGACACTGTGGGACGCAGTTTCCAGCATGGATCAATGATGTCATACCTGATGTTAATGACTGTAAAGATGTGACACTGTGCATAAATGAAGGTGGGTATATTATAATAGTAATTCTTAGCTAATTCACACTTATATTCTATCTACAGTTATACAACGACGAACGTTATTGCGTGCCCATCGCGCATCCGGAAATACTTGTAACGTTACCTTTGACTTTATTTGTGTTTGATATTTGCCGCAATGTCATCTACGGGCTACAAGTCTCACGTGCTTCGTAGGCAACGAACAATGCAACATCTATGACGCGCTTGCCTATCAAACGCGACTCCCCCTAGTCATTATGTACAAGAAATCGCCACGCTATGTTGTCCTCTGTAATTATAAGTTGTGGTGATTATCTGACGACTTGTATTATTCCCATTGTAGATAGAATGACTTTTAAGATTGATCCACAGATGACAAACCACTGTGTATAATTCATTTGTGGCAATCACATGAAAGTAATAGTGTTTTTTGTGGTTATTTAATTTAAAAACACTAGAGAATGGGGATGGGTAACTGAGGTCTGTACATTACTAGGCTTATAGCTGCGTATGTTAACACAGCCGTATAATACTATAGTATCACTGTACTGTTGTGTGTACTTGATTTTTGCTTTGAAAATGAACGAATACATTGAGATACAATTATCGTTCACTTCACCCAAAGAAATTGCTCTATCACCGCTTAGCTTTCTTAACATTTTGCATAGATAAGAACGTCGTATGCCTTCGGTGTTTAGAACAATTTAATAATTGTTTCCATAGTGATGGCAAAATGACGTCCGCCAAAATATTACAATAACATTTTCAACTTGCATTGCGATCAGCAAAAAATATTATTTAGTTTACACTGTGATTAAAAGCGATGTTATAAAGTTTGCGGTTAAGCAAAGATGTAATACTTGGTTCTTATTCTAGGCGCAGACAACTGTTGTGATCGCGCAATAAGTATTGACGTGATGAACTGTGGTGATTTCAACGTCTACTATCTCGAACCGTTAGATGGTTGTCCAGCGGCATATTGTGCAGGTACAAGTCCAAGTTGTAAAACACTATGGTCACAATTTTAATATGAAACATATGACCGTCACGCCGACGTGCTTCTATATCATGATAGTACCAGTTTACTAGGAATACTATCTAGATTTTCCGTCAAAAATCACAATAAAATGCGTGAGCCTCACTTGGCAATGTCAGTCTACTATTATAAGAGTTTCCCACCCCGGTTCACAATGGATAGTTACTATGAGGCAATGTGTGAAGCAGAGAATATACCATGGTTATTTTTTTCGAAAACAGCATTATTGTTTGTTTATTTTCAACGAAAAAAGTAGTTACAGGTCAACATTCTGCATCAATGCAGTATTGTCATGAAATGAACATGCTATTAATCTTACAACAGCTTCAAGTACCCGCCGATGATTCTCCCTCACTAAATGCATTATTTTTGTTACGCCACATATTATAGGAGATCTGGAGCCATGCCCACCGGGTCAACGGTCATCGAATGGACTCCAGCCTGGCTGCTCGAGTAAGTGACTACTTTGATTTGCCACATAAATTATGTAAGCCAGTATTGCTAGTTCGTTGATGGTAACGTAGTAATACAGAGGCGGCGGCACCAAATTTTGCATGAGGGGCGAGATCTGCTCACCAGCCTTGCGCCGAATGCGCGACCTTACTAGGGGGTCCGGGGGCATGCTGCTGCTTAAAAATTTTGAAATCTAAACTCTCTGAAACGCTATTTCCTGCATCTTGAGGGGCAAATTTTGCTGACACAAAGGGTTTCAGCTTGATTTTGGTGAGGCGACCCCCAACATTCTTTACGAGGGCGATCGCCCCCTCTCCCCTCCGTGCCGCCGAAACTGCAATAATCGCAGTCGTTGAACGCAGCTTGCCACGAATGCCAATAATACGAACTCGTTTGATGTCTTTTCCGTTATGTTCAATAGACAACTACCCGAGAATGGAAGGAGATCCGACAATCGAAGCATTTTATGATGAGATCAATAACTACGCGTATTTAGTATGCTCTATAAATTACGAGAGAGATTCATCGATACTATACACTGTACAGTGGCTTGTAAACAATGAAGTCGTCAAGGAAACCATATTGTCAGATGGTCATACAGATGATATCCTTGATGAAAATTCATATACACTTGGTTCTCATGTGAGTAATGATTAACAGAAACGATAAGTTCTTAAGATGAGGGGGGAGGGGGATATTTTGATGGTGCAAGTCATCGTGATGATTGTTGTAATAAGTAGTGAGGACGGTGATTATCATGAACTTGTGTTTTTGGTTCCAGGTCAAATGTCGTGTCAGCTGCAAGTACAGAGGTTCGGACATTGATAGCCCGACAAAAGAAAGTCACGAACAAACCATTGACATAGCGGTAAGCTTTCGCTGGTGACTGCGTATACGAACCTTGAATGAACTACTATTATCTCATTCGGTGTTGGAAAAAAAATGCAAATGTTGTGTTGTTTATGGGATTGCATTTTCTATCGCATTTTTCGTCGTTGTTAAATATTGTCCTTTAAAATTGAATTTAGAAAACCATAGCAACAAAGAATGGATAAATTATTTATTTTCACCAATAAAATTGTTTATCCATATGTATTGGACTGGAAAGCTTTTAAATTACGTGAAATTTACACAATAAATTAATAAATGCAAACATTCTAATATACTTTACACCTGTCGCAGTAACTTATTGCATCCTATATCTATGCAAAAACCTCTTAAAAGTTCGTAATTTACGTTCAAACTCAAATATTATTTAAAATAGTTAACAATAACACATGACTTCATCATACAAACGTGAATTTTCTGGTGGCGGGAATTTCAGTTTTCATAAGACTTCGCGGTCATCGTCATAGCAAACATCTCGTAGTCGGCCCGAGAGAGCTGAGTATTCAGAAATGACCGAGGAAAATACTGCCAACCTCCATGACCATCGTCTTTATGACCTTATTTCTCTTCAATGGTTACAACATTTACAGTTTGAGTTATGGAATTCCCCTCGAGCGAACAGAATCGGAGAGGAGTCCAAAGTGCACGTCACAAAAACCCAGTTCGCTAAAGCAAATAACAAGAATTGAATTTCTGGTATTTTGTCATAAACCTTATACTATCCGCCATATTCACAGTCCTTACAACCTAATGTCACCTATATGCCACCATGGTTTACCGGGCTCTTTGTAAATTGACGTTTTCCTTCATTCAAAAAGTGTTTTACGCTCTGTCTTTCCCCAACAGGTTGTTCCGCGAAGTATCACTGTCAGTGAATCCCAACAACTCCCAAGCCACGTGTTCGTGCGAGCATCAGTGCCGATGTCGTGTACAATAAGAGTGAAGGCACAAAGAGGTTGGCGACTTGTTTAACGTACACTATAACTACGAACAGTCTGGTCCGTATTTGATTCAATTTACGGTCAATTTAGTTCTAATTTTTTGTACAAAATATTGCCCCGTTCTAATTTTGTCTCGCCTATCGTATTATGATTTTGTCATTTCAGTAATTCAAGGTCGATCTGAAGTGGTTTTCAGTTCATGTCTGCTACACATCGAATACGACACCTTTGACCGTTTATTAAACGTCAAAATAGACGCAGTGCGTGATTTCCAACAAGACGGCGACCAGTATTTAACGGTGTATTTTGAGCCCACTGGTGACTGTTCCGTGAATGTTGAACCCGGATATAGAGAAACCACCTCAGTAAACATTGTCTTGTTAATTTATATTTGCATACACGTGTTTGTTATTTGGAAGGGGATAATGCGCTATTACATGGAAATGTTGTAAATGGTATATATTACGCCAATTCGAGCCAAATTCAAATTTGTCAATACTGTGCCTGTTACTGCGCATGCACATATATGCGATGCATCATGGGACATATGCATACGTAATGAAAAACTATTATCACTCTGGAAACTCCATTTTTTAATGTCAATTTTTGGAAATGTTTTCGCAATATTGGAATTCATAACAATAATATTGTTGTTGGTGTGCTGATGGCATGAACTCATATTAAAGAAAGTGTGACAAACAGTATCGTGGTTGTCGCGTTTTTTATCAGTGATAATCTCTATATATTTATGTTTAGGTCGAAGTACATGATAAAGACACCGCTCGTTGTACAAGTAATGGTGATCCACATTTCGTGACGTATGATGGAACGTAAGTAGTAATTCGTGTTTCGTGACTATTATGCAAATGTTCGAATGTCTTATTTATGAATGACGCCATTTTTCTTTACTGGAATCTGAAATATTTCGTGCTTTCCTGCCCAATCAATAGTGTGTTTGTATGTGAGGTCATGGTCAAAATGAATAATTGACTAGTCACGCTTAGAATAGTTGTGTTTTCTTCATGAATTTCTGTTAAAAAACGTAAATCGTGGAAACAGATCACAAGCCGGTCTGAGTATAATTCTCTCCTCCACAATATTGATTGACACTCAAATTCAGCGAGACTTATTCAGAATTCAATTATACTTACTATACAGAAAATATGACTGTTATATGGCTGGAGATTTTGTATTGCATAGAAGTACTAGCCGGAATTTTGAGGTGAGTGGATTTTTATTGGAGAGTACGCAATTATGTCATAGTTTGCATTCTCCTAATGTGCAGCAGGAATGTATGTCGTGTAAGCGCATCAAAAAAAACTGCACATTGTTTGTTCTGCAAGAATGGTTGACGGGTGCAACCGAGAGATGATGAGCTGCTATGTAGATATTCATATAGTCAGATAACCGTATTTACAATTCAAAAACGCGTGCATAAATACAGACAAATAGAAAAAAAGTTAAAATACTTATTATGCATACAATCACCCCGTCGCCAACCGAATCATTGCGCCACTTCAACACTCCACATATCGAAAAAGGAGGTACCTCCTGATTATCCCCAGTAGAATTATAGCTTCTCCACATTTATCAACCACATCTTATGATGTGTTGCATATTAAAACATATCTGTGTATGCGTTACATTTTAGGTTCATACACGGACCTGGCAATGCTGGGCCGTTTACTGCAACTGTGGAGTTGCTATACGGGAAGACAATGAAGTCGTAAGGATTTCTATGTGTGACGGAGTTTGGGGTGAAACGGCTCCTCAATTGGAGAGAATTATAGGTGACTCCCCAAGAATGCAAATATTACGAGACGAGAGTGGTAAACGTTTTACAGTAAGTGATGAAGTGACAACTCATTCATGGAGACTCTCATTTTATCTTCGTATGTCGGGACCTTATTTTTGAATGCGTGTAAATGTCGGCGGAGTAACTGGATATGACCGTCAGCGCACGACATGACTTGTCGACATCACATTAAAGTAATGTGTATGATGAAGGTAAAACTGACCAACGTACATATGTGGTAGTATCTTTCAAGGATGGGAAAAGCTGCCAGTACAGTATTGTAAATTGACCGCATTCATTTCTGACGAATTTGCGAAGTATATCGAATATTTTCTCTCCATGGCGAAACACAATTGGAAGGACATTAATATTCATGATTAATATTCTGTCCTCTGCTGCTTGTCACATGTGAATCACAGTTATCATAATTTTATTGGCATATTCATAAATGAAAAATAATGAATGAATTATGTTAATGGCGTAAGTGAAACAATAACACTAATAAACGATTAGTGTTCAGAAAAAAATCAGCGTGTATATTTGGTAATGGTTTCGTGACTTGCAACTACTAGCTTCAACTGTGTATGGAAACTCTCCTCGGCCGCAAGATCACAACTTCAATACATACATATCCAAATACTTTGCTAAACAGTATTCGACGATGTTTGTGTTTTCGCTAAACTCAGAGTACTGAAACATCGTGTCACTTGACCTCGACCATGATCTTCTCTAGTAAAGTGTGAATCAACCAACAGTTTACGGTGCCTCAATGCATTATGCATTAATGAATATTTATTAGCCTTGGATTTCAGTCAGAATAAACCTGTTGGATTTCGTATTGATTGTCATTTTATATGTTATTAATATTTATAGCATAATTAAATCAGCCCAACTAAATTCTAAATATTTGCTAACTTGGTGTTAATGTTTGACGTTATGTAGGTACAGACGCCGTCTGGTAGTACGGTCACCATCGACGTCGAATCATGGGGTATGAATGTGCAGATTGTTGTTCCAAGTGACGATATAGAAAATACGCTAGGACTGTGCGGAATATTTGATGTTGACCGGAGCAATGATTATACAATGGTTAATGGCGAACGCCTCGACTATACCGTTGTTGGAAGACGACCCGATGAATTTTGTTCCAGTTGGAAGTGAGCTCCTTTGTGTGAATATTATTTACTACTTTTAAAGCGGGAGGAGTCGTCACCTGCGCATGCGTAAGATGGCCATTGCGTGTCATTGTCTACCCATGAGCCTTTGTGTTTTTAGCGTGTGTTGTTATCGTCGCTTGGGACTTAATTCCCGCGCGTGCTCAGGTGACGACCCCCCCCCCCCCGCTTTAACGTTTGATTTCACTGACAGCCAGAGTGCAATATAACAAGAAAACAACTGACGATGTGAAGCTGACAATTCATTTCGCACAAGATCAAATCAGCCGTTTCAAAGCCGATCATATGATCGCTGCTGGTAAAAAAGTGCAAGATTACAGCGAGAAATTGATACTTTCTAGAACTTTTTGGTGAAAATTGTTTATTACATCTCTTTATTTGAGAGGAAAACATATCTCGCCTTTTTTTGACAAGAATACAAATTCCCGCAAATGTGAAGTTGTGAAAATTCTCGCGAGAAAGAATCAGTTATTACTTTAACTTAGTACATTTTTCCAATAGTGTATGGATATGTCCCTTTATATATCCTGTTGGTATATCACGGGCATTTGTTATTATTTGTTACCAACTATATAGCAGATTAAAGAAAACTTAGAAAGAACTCCCGTGTGCTGAAGGTTTTGGGGGCATGAAATACAAATACTATAATATTAAAAACACATTTTCAATACACATAAAGCAAATATTTGGTTTATTGCATGCAAAATCATTGAAATATGTCTTATTTTCACCATAGACCTGTGACAGTCCTTGTCATGTATATTTACAGTAACCACATGTGCTTTATAATAGAGCAAATACAGTATTGAACAATAAAACTGCAACCGATAATTAGGATTGGCTCCAAGTAACTATGGTTTAACAATTATAAATATTTAATGAAATAATGACTATATATGATAGTCATATATCTTCTCAGACAACACAATTATAGCACCGGCTGCATGTCCCAATTTGCAAAAGTACTTGTTACATTACAGTTATACATATTAAGAAACACATATGAAACTAATAATAGGTAATTAGTTGATGCATGGATTTCAACCCTGGGGTAATCAGATTTGTGGATTATTTAGAAGCTCCTATGTACCTAGTTTCATTAAAATTTGATCAGTGGTACTCAAGATATCTGTGGAGCATCTATAAATTGGTTAATTTATGCAAATTAGGTAATTAGTAAGTACAAAATTTACCCCTAAACTGAGCATGTATATGGCTTATCCCTAAGTATCTACATGTGTATATACCAAGTTTTATTGAAATCTGATTAATGGTTCTTGACAAAAAGTGAAAATGCTTAATATTTAATTAATATGCTCAGATTTCAACCGAAACCCAATAAGGTCTGCACATTGTCCCAGAGCAACTATGTACCAAGTTTCATTGAAATCTTTCAATAGTACTTGAGATATAAGTGTTAATTATGCAAATTAGATAATTAATATAAATGGAATTCAACCAAAAACTAGTCAGGTCTGAACATTATCCCAGAGCATCTATGTAAAAAGTAAATTAATATATGTTGATTAGTACATGAAAAACAATTGAAAATGCCATACGTCGGTTAATTAATATGCAAATTAGTTAATTAATATGCATGGATTACATCCAAAAACTTGTCCGGTCTGAACATTATCCCAGAGCAAGTTTCATTAATATCTGCTCAATAGTACATGAGAAACAAGTAAAAATGCTTGAAAATCAGTTAATTAATATGCAATTAGTAATTAATATGCAAAGACTTCAACCAAAAACTAATCAGGTCTGAGTATTAACCCAGAGCATCTAAGTACCAAGTTTCAATAAAATCTGATAATTGGTTCTTGAGATATCAGTGAAACAGTCACACACAGATGCACTTACCGCAAAGACTCCCATTGTGTGCTTTGGGAGTCAAAAATGTAATGGGTCAAAAGAATGATGTAATCATGACGTCACCTCAAATATGTTTTATTTATAAGTATGTTTATAAATCTACTAGATTGAACCAAGGGGAGAGTTTATTCGAAAGCCTGCCAGATATTGTTGAATCAGACGATAGCCAGGAATCTATTAATGACGATGATGGTGATACTATGTGTGAATGTTTTGATGACGTGGTGTTGGAAGAATGTGGCGAAGGGACAGGTGTTCAACCACCGCCGGACGTATTCTCTCGTATGGATGTAACTACTGTCAACGTAGGTAGGCGATCGGCTATTACCGCTGAAAATCATGAAAACCAGCCAGTGAGGTAATTTCCATAATTTGAATATGACTCTTGAGCAACATTGTTCTGGTGTGATGTGGCTTTTTCGAACAAAGAGGATGAAAAAAAAAACATAGACCATGCCACGTGTGATATTATCTGGGCTGATTATTTATACTTGGTCACGTCGCTGTCTTGGGGTACATTTTATCATAAACTTCCTTATCTCTGTTTGAAAGGAGGAAAAAACGAGAGGTCATTACACCCGAAGCAACAATACAAGTATCAGTCAGCTGGCCAACTCGCAGTGGTATAACTCGCGATGAGGCCGAGAGTCGGTGTCGATCCGCAGTGTTGAGCTCTCCGGTGGCTGAATATTGTACGTCGGTACATAACGTGGACTTGTTTATCGGTGTGGATGGATGTGTTGAAGACATATCGGTAATTGATAAATTTATTGTCACACTCTAAACACTGATGGCGCTCTTACTTCCCTTTCAGTGAAACGGAAACGAGAACGTTGGATTTCCATTCACACCTCTTTTACTTCACAGCGACACGGTGTTCTATATACGAAGTATGTATTTTTCTGAATGAACAACATAACTTTATGTATAACAACAAGTTTTGAGGGTAGCTTCTGGCAAAGCAATGTGGAAAAGTCGATACTGCACACATTGTTAATACGTAATACACATGTTTTTTTCTCGCCAGTTGATTGATGGTTTTGACCTTGTATATATTGCGGTACGGGAGATGGAATATCACTGTGAATTTGAAGTTCTAAAGAACGTAACCTTGTATGAGAATGGTACGGTAGACTTATTACGTAACATTCAATAACGGCAGATAACGACACACGCCTTCAAGTTTGATTGACGCGATTGGGGCTATGTGCGCTAAATGCTGTGGTGAAGGCGTTAACATTTGCTGATCGCACAAAGACCGGCGATAATCTTTATCTTCTTTTTTTTGCCAGGGTTTATGCATTCTGCATTCTAATGCTCTTCATCTAGTGTAGATAGCACGCGACATTTAACTGTCGTAGTAGCCACCTACACAGATTTCCATAATTCGCGACTTTAACGCAATGCCATTTACAAATTGTCAAAAACGAAAGACTGCAGATCAAAAAAAATGGCAAGCCAAGCATAGCATTCCCTTTACCCATTTACCTCACAGAGATACTTCGCCGCTGGAGGGCGCGATTTACATGAGTGGAGTATTCACTATGATGTGCACAGTGTTAGCAGTTACACGTCATTTTCGGTGTTTACGATTATTTCATTTCAGTGAATGGAACTTATGTGCCGCCATCTGTTTTGTATAATTCACTTTGCTATACACGATGTAGTGAACAGGGCAGATGCGAGAATGGATCATGCCATTGTATTGAAGGTAAGTTGCGTTTTATTTTCACAACTACGGCACCAGCCTCGTCGTCGAAAGAGGTTGTGTTTTACAGGGACGTCTTTGCTGAAGTTTTACATTGTTTCGCCGTTTATACGAGAAAATAGTTGTCGCGCCGCGTCCTGTTCGATATGGGACTCATAGCGACGTATACAACGCATGTAAAATACATTGTTTATTTACATGAAATTCGAACATGCGCTGCGCGACGACCACTGCCCTTTAACCAACTTGATGATTTCAAGTGCTTTATGTAATTAGTTTCATCTTATCGCTATTCACGCACCTACTTACAGGATATGGCGGCGCTGACTGCTCTGTTGATCTGTCTCAACCTCCAAGTGTGTTATTGGTAGAAGGCGACCGATATCATGGGCTGTGTGACGCACGCACCGAAAACTGTCAATTTCCTTCCCTAGTTGGGAATAATTTACTTGATTCCAATGATTCGTCATGCCATTACGCAATCACTGAGGTAAATTTGTAAGCAATTGATTGATTTATCATCACGGTATTCCTGAATTGTCGCGTTTTCATATCAGACAAATTTTATCAGTGATTCTGCCATGTGATTCCGAACCGTTTCTCAGTTATTCACTTCTGACATCATTTTACCACATTTTAATTATAATTACCGCTAGACGCTGCGCAATCTTCGTGTTTCTGGATGTACCATGCAAAATTTTAGCAATATTTTCTGTTTAAATTAGTATTCATTCGACTGTTAGTCAACAGTGAACACCGATTTTGAAAGAGGATCCAAATATTAAGTCGGACTTTAAAACTAAAAGAAGATAACAGAAATACGTTAGTTATGATATATATTATTACGTGATGGCCTTACGCAATGTGTTACAGACATTCAGACATGCTTCTGTATAGCGACCATTAGTTTCTGAACTGTGTACAGCAGTCGGCTAAAACATTGTTGATCGCATTGCAGCATATCGATGGCGATTGGTCGGAAACTGCAGTTGGTAACTTACATGAAACCGGGACATTTTTTATGAGTTTCCGCGAAGTATATTGTCAATTTCCAGAATCTATTATAACCACTGCACACTCGGAAGAAAAGGGTACAACGTTCGCTACTGTGATTGTATACGTGAGCAACGACAGGGGAGCTACATTGAGTAATGGAATGGTATTGACAATGTATGATTCGATATGTATCGAATGTAATGACAATAGAATGTGTCGCCTTAAGGTAAGTTATATCATAATGGGGTCAAAGGTTAAATTATCACGGAGCTCTATTTATCCTCGCTCATTAATCATATGTCATTTTGGGATATTCATTTTAGCACGTGTATAACGTTTAGTCAAACCACATACTTTACCAAGATTGCTTCCAAGCATAACTGTGTGATTTTGACCCCTTCTCTTGTTCGACCAATGACAAGGTGGTTCTACCTCGTGCTGGCGCCTCGGTGATGTCACACACATGTGGTCAGTACACGACAACATGGCTTAATATAAGCAGTGTTTGGTTTACAAGTCTCGTGGCTCTCTCGCGCTCTACAAGATCTCTGCGGCCATGTGCGCCTATTGGATCATGTCGTCATTAGAAATCTAAGTACATGCCATCCTTTTTTTGTCAGAACAATGCGTGTGAAATTAATGGACATTGTTATTCATCTGGTGAGTACCATCCAAGTGACTCTACGATGCAGTGCATTCCTGACATATCTCAGGACACCTGGACTGATACGGATAGTAAGTAGATTATCAGAAACATATCCACAATATATGGCCATTTACACCTACATACACGTGTATGGCGTAATTTATGACAACAGATTCTATGATGTCATACTTTACCCATAGTCCTTTGCTTGAGAATCAAGATGGCTGACCACATAATACTGATGAAAAAGTTGAATATCTACAGAATGAAAAGTGATATAAAAAACTGTAAATCGCATTCTCCTACATTTGTGGGGCTTTTTCTTGCGGGGTCATGTTGTTGTTGGCTTGATGTTTCCTTTAAACTGGTGTAAATTCTTGTATATATTTTGTTTAGCTACTTTCAAATGTACACTACTATTACTTACGTTATGTTGCAAGTATTAAATGCTACAGCAGACAATGTCACGTGTTGTCAACAACATTTTTCTGATTTTTGTTTTGTTTTATCCAAAAGATACTTCGCTTGCCATTGGTTTGTCTATAGGCGGCTTCGTTATGGTGGTGGGAGCCACGGTTATTGCTGTATGGCGTTATAAGAAATCTAAGAATATGGTAATATAACGTATCTCCTGTGCTATTTCCTGTTCACTGTTTTAGGCGAGGTGGTTCGCTTGAAAAACAAAACAAAATCATATTAGTTACATACATACTCAAGACACTGCTACAAGATGTGCGTGTCCTTGTGTGAATTAAACAAGTTCAGAAAAGATGATAAACCAAATACGAGATGTTTGTTCTCTTCTTATTTGTTTTGTGTTGACAGACGCATTTCCAGAATACACTTCAGAAATACACATACCCATGAAGGAAGATGTATTGAATCTTATACGAACTCATCTACATACTTGGTAACTATTTTTTACTTCTTACTTGCAGGTTCAAGATACAGAATGAAATGAACTTCTTGCCCGCTGCCTCACAGTAGAAAAATCAATCAAACCATTAATTAGCATTACCTTAAAAAAAAACTGTAATATAATTGTATATTTAGTTAGGACAAATTTGATCTGTCTGTTTATTATAACTGTGTCTTTCAAATATCTGACAATTTCAAAGATGAAGATCAAACGCAATTCTGTCATCTTCCGAACGCTCTCATAGTTTAGCATTGTTGCTCACTGATGTTTGAAAGTACCTTACATATCTTATATGGTACATTTCCCAACTCATGCACTCATGCAATCGTATTCAACAGTTCTTAATAATATCAGTTAATAGTTGGAAATTAAAAATCTGACACATGCATAAATTACTGCAAGCTAACGTGAAATACCTGTCGCTGATTGTTCTTAAACTTGCAAGGTATTATATATGACGTAATCCTGTTCGGTATGGTCATGGTATATTTCTTGAATCACTTTCTAAAGGTACACATATTTAGATACTAGTAATATTAACCTTGTTATTACACGAGATGTAGTTCACATATGCTCAGCATTCACAGATGATAATTACTATCCGAGATTTAAAACATTTGTAGGCTAACACATTTCACATATCTGCTTCGCATCATGTAAACGCAAAAACTATGGCCGTTCTATAAACACCGTTTTCGAATCCCGGTTATTCTTACGTACATGCGATGCGGAGAAATTTTTGAAATAATAGCTGACAATCTCGAAATACGCCATTATCTCAATATATTTAGTGTATAACCTTATTATTTTACGCCTTCTATGGACTAAAACGGTGGAAAATCAGTCTGAATTTGTGTCTGTACAGTCTTGGGTTCTTGCGCCTGACAACACCGACACTCTGCTGTTGAACATTTTCACTGATTAATGTACGATTATATATCGTCAGTGATTCTCAACGAGTTTCGTCAAAGTGGCAGCATCATTTGTTCGTTACTACATGTTGTAATACTTTCTGAAGATATTCGTAACGTGACTTCACGAATACATTTGCTAGACAGTTTTTATAGTGAATGCATAAAAGAGCGGTTACGTATACGGTCTTATGGTTCGATCGTAAAAAATTGATAGCTCAGAATTTGTGTCAGTGGAGTTCACGCATGTCGTGTGTTCGATTATGAAAATTTAGAATATACTGACAGCGCCTAATGGCAAACGTTTTCTGAATGCAAAAACGGTATTTCAGCCGACCTTTTGTTTTCAGTTTCCTTAAAAGTTAATGTACAATAATAAGACTATTAACAAAATACCGGAGTTTAGGTTCTCGTAAATCGTACGCTTCGGCATATACGCTTCGCAGCTATTTGCCTTATATTTTCATTGATCAGGTGGAGAGGTCAAGGGTCAAATAGAGTGCAATACTAGTAACTCGAATACAATTAAACAAAAATATTGTAGCGCTCAGGGCTATAGGTTACAGAGGCGTATAACAATGGTGGTTATGCAGATATCAGATGAAATGTATAACATTACAGAACTCGTGCCATGAAAGCCCCTGTCTTTATTTAAAGAACAAACGCACGCCTTCACAGTATTTTCATTTCGGTTCCTAATTTTGTCAGTTGTTTTGCGTCATTCTGATTCTAAATGCGAGATCGTCAGAGTTTAACAACCGCCTGGGGTCACGTGACTACGTGACTGCCTTCTTCAACAGAAACGATCTTATTTAATGCAATTTCTATATCAAATTGTTCTCGTTGTAAATGCTATACATACAGTTCAAACTAAAAAGGCTAAACAACACCATCTTTACAAATTCACTGCCGTGCGCTGAGCTACATACAGTGACGTGAACTTGTGAAAGCAATGTCAAAAGAAACTACGTTGTAATTTGTAGTTACTGCGTTTTACATAAAAAAAATAGTTGCGAAACAGATATGTGCATATATAAACAGATATGTGGATATATAAACAGATATGTGAATATATAAACAGATATGTGAATATCAAATTGGTGACTCTGCAATATGAAATGTATTACACACACTAGTTTAATACAATTGATATTATTGAGTTACTTATCAAATACTGGTACAACGTAGACTAGTTGGTAAAAGTCATATTTCTTACTTAGTGATAGTAGATTAAGATTGATTTTTATTTTTTGTTATATTAACCGCCGTTAGATACTAGTAATAAAATTCAAAGGGCGGTGGTCGTCGCGCTGCGCATGTGCGACATTTGTGTTGGTAAACATTGATTTTCCCATAATCCAATGCGCTCTTCTAATGGAAATCACAAGTATGAGGTTTTACCTGGGCGCGACTTGCACTAATTACCGCCGGTGACTCCTTCGACACCTTCCAATCACCTAAAAAATACCTAACTAAAGCTTGGTAACGTCTCAGTCTGTGTTTGTTGATCTGCGCAACAGCCAAAGTCCGAGTCGCCATTTTCTTTATATGAGGCCCATATATCTCGCGCATGCGTGGCGCAACGACCGTGACTACCACCCTTTAACGATGCCCGTTTCGTGGTGAATAACTGACTTTTTTTAGGCATATATTTGCATTAGGGTTCATGTTGCATTGTGGGTACCAGTATTCATATATATTATCTATATACTATATTATAATTAACAAGAGTTTCCTGGAAAAAATAAAATGTGTTCTTGTTATGTAATATGTGTTATTATCCAGTGTGTTTTAGTAAAAGTGTAAAGCATATTATGCAGTTCGTGTCTTATTTATACAGTTACTTGTATGATTATCATGGTGAGTTTCAATAACTTCGAAATATTGGACTAGACATCGTCTATGATCGTGAGACTGAAGTGCTGTGGACATGTTCCCAGGTAATGTCTTGACGTCATGGAAACAGCCAATCTGTGTTGACACAGAAGTCTGTACTGTGGTGCTGCGTAGTTATATAGCGATTCACCAGGCAAATCTTAAGTGTACTCTGAATGACTAAATTCCTGGCTACAATAATGGTGGCACGTATTCGTTATGAGCGACAATACAGCAATCACATATATCGGATTGTTGATTTTAACTGATATATCGCCAAAAAAAACAGAAACTATAATATGCCGCTACATAAACCATTATTATCATATCATATATTCCTATACCAATACTGAGTGTTTTTTTGCCCAGCTATATGGCCAGAAGTTCACAATTACATAAGATGGCGTCACGCATGATGACGCAGATTGATGGATGGTATTGTCTCTTAAATTCGGAGGGTTGTCATGTGTATATGTCCTCCAAACCGGTTATAAGTCCCAATCTGTTAGATGTACTTTTTTGTGGTTCATTTCTACAGTTCGAATTTTGTTTACATGTGAGTTACTAGTATTCACATGGCCCTCCCTAATCTACGTTATAAAATGAATTATTTATACAATTTGAAATAGTTTAGGTGTATTCAGCAGCAAACCATTGTCGTCGTATGTGTTTACTGATTTTACGTAGCAATATTCGGTGATTATTGTGTATCAAATTTTGTCTTTTCTGATAAAGAAAAATCAATCTCGCAATGTGTTCACACGGCGCGGGGCGATAACACAATTGTAGAGCATTGCAATGAAATAAAATCCTCCAAAGTTTGT